ACGAGTCAAAAAAGTGTTGCTATCATTAACGAAAACCAGGAAGAGCGGAGAAGCAAGAAAACAGCCTTCGGTTACATCTGCACCTAAATAGAATTTATTTGAGAAACATTTGTCGAGTAGAACTCTTGTTGAACGATTCCATTAAAAAGTTGATGTAAATGAAGCTAAAATGCTGGATCAGCTTCGATATTTGCTAAGGGCTTCGTTTTGCTTTTGGACTTTTAACTTGGCCAAGATATAATTTTCTATACCAATTCTAGAGATGGCGGACTGACACATTCTTACGCTGATCAAAAGTAAAAAAAGAATATTTCAAATGATTTATGTGTACATACGCTCAACTTCCTAATCAATCCACTGTAATTACAGGTATGGAAATGAAGGTTCATCATTTAGTGAAAGTCCATTAGTTGATTAGATCCGATTAGATTTCGGTTGCAATTTTTATACATAGTATGTATGTAAGGCTAATAAACATTTGGATCACATATACAAATCAAGTTTCTCGCCGGTGACTTTAGTTTATTGGTTGTTGTTTGTGAATGGTTTACCGCCCTTTTTTATATTTCATCAGTGAAATTGAATTAAAAATATATCGGCCCGATTCCAATTTTCTATATCAGAGTTTTTTACTTTTGGAGGTATCAACAATAGCCGATGCAACCAGCTCAAACGACTTAGAGTGTCATGTGTGTTATGAGTGTCTGCGCTACTTACGGTATACAGTATATTTAATCTGTACGGATGCACGTAACGCCCAGAAAGAGTTTTATTAAACTGATTTAAGCATGTCTACTCGTCAACCTTCCTATCCGTCACCATGGAGCATTGAAAATTATACGTTTTCGTTATATGAGAGGGGGTTCAAAAATTGCCTCACCAATCCAAAGTTTTCATACCAATATACTAAAATTTGGTGGGAAAATTTTGAAAATTACAATTTTTTTTTTTCGTATAACGACTTTTCAGAATAGGACGTGGAATGGGAAGTGGTCGAAGAAGTGTACCGATCCGAACCATTTTCAATAGCGTTGGTCTTTGGATCCAAACAAGTCAGTGTATCAAATTTCATCAAAATAATTTACATGGACAGACATTAGACAAACAAAAATGCTTACATCACTCCCGATTACGATTCTGAATCGATCGGTGTTACGTAAAGTGGGGGGTCTATCTTAAGCGCTTCTGTGTGTTACATACGTCCGTACTAAGTTAATATATCTTGTCTTACAAGTGGTGTAGGGTATAAAAATTGTTGTTCGCAATCTTTCTTAGATGAAAGTAAAAATTTGCAGATTTTTAAGTGCATACCTATAAGTATTAGAAAAAAAAATTATTTTTGAAAGATATTAGAAACTTACAACAACATAGCTATGTTATGTGGTTATGCGGCAAACAGCATAACTGATTCAAATTGAAATTAAAGTAAGTTAGAAAATTATATTCGGTCGTGACTAAATCAATATACATTTTTATTTTTTTTTTTTTTCAAAATAAAAGTGAAAATTTATGTGATGTATGTGCCGTACTTTATGAGTAAGAAGCAAAAAACACGAAAAACAATGGTGTTCACAGTTTTACATGAACGTGTGGGCTTTCTAGACGTGCTTTTTGAAAAGTTTTTGTAATTTTCAAATATTTTTCCAAAGTTTTACACGATATGTACGTTCTTGCGTATGGGAAAATGTTTAGGTACATTCTGCATTTGAAAGTGGCCAAGAATTTATATACTTTACGGAGATTTTGAACGTTGCTTTTCTGCATTACACAAAGGTATTGAAAAAAAAAAAAAAAAAAATGAAATTGTGGCACACTTAAAGCTGAGTAGGCGTGAACGATTATTTTCTATTTTTATTGAGATACTACAGCCTCGCCTATAAATTTTTTCAAATTTTATCTATGAACGAAAAATCAATGTTTTATTCTTTTTGAAAAGCAAAGGTGTCCACACTTTACGCACTGTAACAGGCATGTCCTCTAACCGATTTCATCATTCATTTTGAATACCAAACCGAATGCAAGAACAATGCAATGCTTCAGCCAAATTTGAAGATAATAGTTTTATTTTTGCTTACAACGTGCATTACGCAGACGGACGGACGGACTGATCGATTCAGAATTTGCGGTTGGTCACGAGTACAAGACTTTGGATGATCTCTGAAGCTTCCTTCTGGGCGTTGCGCGAGTTTTTAAAAATGTTGATTTTCTTGTGTAATTGGCGAGTGTTTGAGTAAAAAACGTTCAATTTTCGACTTGAAAAAACTCATTCTTTGATTAATAAAAAATGTTTAAATTAACTAAAATCTATACAAAACCTATTGCATATCAATAGAAAATGTAGTTTTGTCGATACAGCAGAAAAGTCAAATGAAAAAGATGAAAACTGTTCAGATTATGCTGTTTGGCGATTTCGAAAAATGCGTTCCGAGATAAACGCGTTTAAAGTTTGGAGATTGTGTTATGCACATGTTTTTTTTTTTTTTTGTTTCTCAAAATAATTTTTTTATGATTTTTTTCATATAATTGCTTTTCCAAGTTCAAATATTCCTCTTATTCGTTCTCTTTTCCTGGCGACTTTAAGCTCGTTGCTGGCTGTTTCGTCGCGTCTATCAAGGAGAATATCGCAGGATGTACACTTTGCTGGTTTCGAAATAATGGAAGAGACGGTCAGAAAATGTACAATTAAATAATGGAATTCATAATACATTAATCAAAGACTCTATCTCAAACGTTTCAAGCCTTCAAATCGCTCTCAACTACCATTCAGCGTTTATGTCTCTCTCTTGCTGTGCTAAACTATTTTCGTTTGAAAATGGGCATAAATGTCTTTTCAAGAGATTTGTTAATGTATTGGAGAAGCTAGGAATCATTTGGCTGTAACTTCCGACAGTTGTTCGTAGCATAGCAGGTGGTCTCTCTCGAGAAAAGGACTGAATTTCAAGGCAAAAATTTCATGCGACTAATGAATTTTTTTTTTGCATATATTCGAGAAGCTCCGAATCATCTTTTAGGCAAAAAAAAAAAAAAATCGAAAATAGATTTTTTATAAAACTTACAGTGGGCTACGACGAACGAATGACTTAGACGCAGTAGCTGGAGTTGACGTTTTGAATAACTTGTCCTCCTACGGTAGTTCAGAGAATCACGATTTTCCTTTCAACACGGATCAGGGATTCGTTTTGCGTTGTGCAAATATTCTCTCTTGTCGTCTGACTTAAATTGCGATTTTTTCTGTGTTTGTGACAAAGTAATCATTGATTTTTCTCGAAAACTTTTGTCCATTGCATATAAAGGGATCGCTAACAGCTAAAGAAATTTGGAAATAGTTAACTCATTTTTTTCCTTATTCCTTATCTGCATTTTTAATTTACCACGGCAGTACCAGCTCATCAAAATCTGGTAAAGTTTTGAGACAGAGATCGGATAATGCAGAGGAATTTTCTTACATGGAGTTAAATTTAATAAAGCTTTCTCGTTTAACAACTTAAAAGTTTCGACTGTTTATCGTATTTCGTACACACAACAGCAAACCTAAATTGCAGATCAGCCTTGCTAATCAGCCTTTTTGATGGTTGATGCATGCATTCTTAAAATCGAGATTTCATTGTATCTCTCTGCTCTCGTTCGAAAAATTGTAATAAAAATTATTGCAAAATTAAAATAAAAAAAAAGTGGAATTTTTATTTGTACGGAAAATGTTCAATATATATAATGATAGCGACATAAACACATACATAAATGGGCGACTTTAAATACAACGAATACGATAGAATACAACAATGTTACACTCTGAATAGATTTAATGTGCCGTTATGGGCCGTGAAACAACGAATAAATGAACCGAATGTAAAACTTAAGTATATTAGTCATACGTATCATTTAATCTCGCCTGAGGTCGTTATACGCACAACTTGCTAGTCAACCACTTCAATATTTTATAAGCATACGGTGTTTGAAATGTCTCCGACTAAAGTAGGACAAACAAACAAACGTTTTTTATATCCCATCACCGAGGGGTATGAGGGGTATGTTCAATTTGTCAAAACGTATGTAACGCCCAAAAGGAGGCTTCACAGGCCACACCAAGTATATATATACTCAATCAGTATCAAATTTTAAATCGATTTAAACATGTCCGTCTGTCAGTCTGTCCGTTTGTCTCTATAATGTCTATTGTAAACAATCTTTTCGCCGCAAAAACGAAATTATCGACTTCAAATTCGGCTGAAACATTGCAAGTTTTTATATGCGGGTTGATATTCAAAATGGTCCAAATCGGTCTAAGGACACGCCTACAGTACTACGTAAAGTGAAGACACCTTTGCCTTTCCAAAGGAATAAAAAATTGGTCTTTCGCTTTTTAGTCCATATAAGTGTACAAAAAATTGGAAAGCATATTCTATGGACGATATTGTAGCGCCTGTACAAAAATGGAAAAAATTGATCACGCCTCCGTAGTAGTATAGTGTATTAAATTTTAATTTTTTTTTTTTCAATACCTTTACAAGGCGCAAAAAGAAGCTTCTAAAAGCCCACAAAATATACAAGTTATTGGCCAGCTTCAAATCTGGGGAATGCTCCTAAACCTGTTGTTTGTAGTAAAAATTAGTGGCAAACACTTTTTTTTTCGCTTTTATCAAAACTGCAATAAACTTCCCGATCTGAGAGAAAAAATTTCAACATTCTCCATTCCAGCTAAGATCTAATCAGCTGTGACACTTGCACTCTGATATATTTCATGGTTTTGAGGTTATGAATTATGCTCAATATTGTCTTCATATAAATATAAACACATTGACACTCGTAAATCGTAATATTTCCTAAATAGCGCTCGCGCATACATAAATACAGTGATCATGACACTAGTTATTTCACTAGTAATAAACAATAATCTACTTTAAGGATATTATATAATATTATATAATATGCTATAATTGAATGCATATATTAATAATAATATGAAGTTAATTTCTCATATATCTGTTTCTTATCTTTAACAGGCTGTAAAACAATTCATTGATCTCTGTAATAATATTGGCTCAACATGCTCGGCTAGACGTAACATTTCGCAGACGACTGCTGTCAAGTTCCTGTACGCTCGTAAATTTGATATAACTCGGGCTGTTTCACTTTACGAGCAACATGAACAGATACGTCTAAAAGAAGGTCTCTACAATATCGATCCAGATGCAGAACCATTATATTCGGAATTAAAAACTGGCAAATTTACAATATTGGTATGTAACGAAATCCTAACAAGTATGTAGTTTTTGTATGCGTTCGTTGTTTGTGGGTGTGTTCTTAAGTTAACTTACTGTTTGTTACTTTTTGTTTTGTTCTTTTTTTTTTTTTTTTTTTTTTTTTTTTTTTTTCTTTCGTTCTTTTTTTTCTGCATGCATATACACATTCAGCCTGCACGTGATTCCAGTGGTGCTGCTATTGCTCTATTCACCGCCAATAAACATAGTCCATTAAATGTTACACATACCACAACATTGCAGGGCATCGTCTATCAACTGGATTGTGCTTTACAGGATACAGAAACTCAAAAGGCTGGTCTCGTGTTCATTTACGATATGAGTGGCTCAAAATATTCAAATTTTGATTATGATTTATCCCAGAAAATCTTAACATTGCTTAAGGTGAGTGTTCATATTAGTTTTTCTCTCTTCTATAATAGTTAGCGGAGGTCAAGATTTCACATCGATTTCGAATCGCTATATAGAATTTGCCTATCCGTTTTTCTACTAATCGAGATAAACGATTTAGCTTATTCTCCATCTCTTGCAACTCTTGAAGCGCGCCAACAAAATTCAAAATCAAAAATGCGCATATTTGAGAGAAAGAGAAAGAGAGAGAGAGAGAGAGAGATATTGTAAAAAAATTTTTAAAAAAATCCAATATAAAATACGCAAACGATCCATATCATTTTACATATAATCTAACATAAATGACGTTTTGAAAGACCATAGAAGAAAGACATATGTGACGTAAATAATAAACACCTTTGATTCTGATGACAATATGTTTGTGTATTTTAATTGGTGGCCGCCATAAAATGACGGATTATCTTTCTCCAACAATGTTCTCAAGATGAGTGTTGAATAGAAGAGCTTGGAGAAGGCAATAGCAAGGAAGGAGACAAATAAATTACATAAAACATTTTTGTTTTTTCAAGAAAGTTTTTATCGTAGTGAGCTAAGAGATGGAAAATAGTCACTTTTACGTACATACACATACATAAAACCTTGTGGCATTTAGTAATAGGCGAATTTCTTAGACGCTAAAGTCAACTCTGGGAAAGTGTGCAGTTCCCAGGTGAGTGCTTCTGGCGTATTTCGAACCGGTTCTTCTTCGGTATGCATGGATGGATGGATGGACATCATGTAAAAATATGACAATGTATTGGCTTTTTTGATATATCACTAGTAATTTGAATAGTGTACAGTTTAAATCGGTCAATTGTTGGCGTCGCGCTGTTTGGTTTTAATTGTTTTGCCAAAGGACAACGCACTCTTCCGTTCGCACTAACCACAGAATATCGTCTTCCTGCCAAATGCAATGTACGATTGTACATCGTGGATCGACCCAGGAGCTTTTATGCCTGGGTTTGACTATTCATTCTCAGTTACGCAAAAACTGAGGCTTTTCAGCCTCTCAGCGAAAGCTCTTTACTCCACATTTTCATTGGAAAGGAAAGTTGTAACATGTGTCAGTGTAACGAGTACCTATCATTACCAGATGCCCAAGGTATAAAAAAAAAAAAAACATACACAGACACACACACACACACACACACACACACACACACACACACACACACA